GAGGGGTCGCTCTCGATAGCCTCTAGCGTTAGGTATCGCTGAGTCAGGAAAGAGTCGATTTCCTTCCAGGGCGGCACCTCCTTTTTGTCCGTTACGGACGCTTCCCATAACGCCCGGCTTAACTTTGGCAATTTGGAAGCGCAGATGGTCACTAGCAGACTATCCCAATTGTCGGTACAGACGTTGGAGACAGCTAGTGCATTTAAGACCCCCTGCATAGTACTTTGTAGATCCTTCAAAGCCCGACTGCACTCGGAAGTTACGCGGGGCAAGAAGAGGAGGATGTTTATCTGGTTGGTAACAAGAAGCCGATTATTTTCATATCGGCTGCGGAGAGCCGACCATGCGGACTCGAAACCGTCATTAGTGAGGGGGGATTTCTCTACGATGGCCTTCGGATCGCCCCGGGTCTTCTCGGTGAGGTAATACAGCCTCTCTACCGGAGACAATCTAGGATTGTTGATCACGACCGCAGTGAACAGATCCCGGAATGTGGGCCAGCGGACGTAGTCCCCTGTGAATGCCTCAATATTGACGGGAGGCAGTCGACAGCCGCCCTGTTGGACTGGCTGTGAAGGAGGAAGAACTGTGGATGTGGCCAGTTGGGCATTGAGGTCACTGAGGCACTGCTCAAATACCCCATAGCATTCACCGTATGTGTCACGGATGTCCGCTTGGCTCCTCGTCAGTCATCACCGCGGAGCAGGCCTTATATTCGGCCTCGACGTCCGTCCACATGCTGAGGATTTGGCCTCGACGGACCTCGGACAAAGAGGCGGATGGGGCGGCGGTGATGCGCTCTGCCAGGTGCGACAGTCGGCCAATAGCGGCGGCCAATTTGGTCCGAGCGACTGAGGTGGCGGATTGAGCCATTGTGATGCAGTGGCGGGAGCTGACGGGGCTGCTGACGAAGGAGCCCTTCGGATCTTGTTTGGTCACAGCTGGAACCTTAAGAGTGACAGGAGACGGGAACAGAACCGATTTGGTCCTTGCCGCAGGGCTGCTACTGGCTGCTCTCGGAGTGAGGGGTGCCTTGATTCTCTGAGTAGGCGTAGTTCCGGAGGCGGACGAGGTGCGTAGCCGGTTGGAAGAGGTCGCAGGCAGAATCTGGTTGCCGTCCTTGTGACCTGTTGGTATATTCCGAACTCACACACGCACAGAAAATCGGAGTGAGTGGAGTGGAATTCCAACAGAGAGACGCCAGGAAACAAATATAACCCACTTATGGAAGGCTGTCAGGAAAAAGGCCTCGAGCTTGTTGGAAAACAATAGTCGGGTCGACTCGGATTGTTTGAGATCACGGTGAAGTGAAATTTCTCAAACAATGAGTGACTTATATTGCGCTGAGCCGAGGAGAGGACCGGTTACACTGATTTTGGCAATATTTTGCAAATATTGTTAGTGCGGCCTCCTCCGTTTACCTCTTTGACGCAGTCATGATCAGAACTGGGTTATTTGCGGATGGACGGCGGACGGAATGGCATTTATATCCTCGATAGTTGATTGGAATGGGCGATAGTTTGCTCTTGGTGTCGGTTTGGATCGACAAAGTGCAGATAAACCTAGTCGCCGTAAGCGTTACCGGAAGCTACAGTCAAGAATATGACTGCGGAGTGGGCGCTGGAGAACTATCGGGAGAAATACCGAAGGAAAACAGAAAATATCGGAAAAAGGAGGACGAAACGGTTTAAATAAGAAATCGTGGATCGTTTAATTTATTTCTTGTAGTGTCGGTGTGTTTGTTTGGAAATTGTATTTTTATTTTTTATTAATTTATTTTCGGTCGAACGCAAGACTCGATTACGATACCGATATTTTTGGATTGCGCCACCTCTGATGCACGGAACAAAAAAAAAACAACAACAAAGGACCGAAACACCAATTTGCCAATTGGCAGTGGAAATTGCCAAATAATTACTATAAGTGCGCCGTGCCTTGGTCGCGAGTAATTTATTTGGAAAGTGGAGGATGTTGGAGTTGGGGTAGCGATCGTGAAAAGTGGATAGAGTGCACGAATTGTACGGAATCGCGAATTTTATATTAAAATTGGCACTTGCGCGGAGCGCGGTATTTTTCTACGGGGAGTGGTATTTTTATGGTATGGAATTATGTATGTTATGTATATAGCTGGCAATATATTGCGGCCAACTATGGGAATAAATGTATGAATGTATGGAAATAAATATATATGTGTTTATAGGTATGGTATCACTCGATGTGATTGTAGTTGCACTCGGAGTGTGCCAAAGTATATTTTATTGGGGTGGGTCGTGCTGGAATGCACCTGTAGAGACACGGATGTAGATGTGTGTGTATGTACGCCGCTCTTATGGGCTGGAATGTACGTACATACATATGCTCGGAATGCACTTTTTTTTTGGTTTAATTTTTAGTTATTTAATTTGTCCGCAAGTAATGAACAGACACAAGGAATTGAAGAACTACCGTATCACTGGTATTTGGAGATGAACGAAGGGAGAACGACCGGAATTGCCGATAATATTGCGGTTTCGAAAAAAGAAGAAACGGATAACGGATGGCACAGAATGAAGAAATAAGTACATATATAAGTATATATATATGTACTTATATCGCGGAACTCGGACTTTTCGGAATTTTGGAACACAAATCGCGAATGGAAGGGATTTGTGGCACACGAAAACTGTACTTATCTTGGGATCCTGGTGGTGAAGGCGATGCCGTGTTCGAAGGCTGGATATGGTTGGGGAAGGCGAAGTATATCCGGCTCGAAGGACCAATGATTGAGCGAAGAGGCTTTCGAATTTCCACCGTTCAGAATCCCAAATTAAAGACGTTAGGCAGTTCCAATTTCTTCTCGTATATATTTCGGGGTTGTTCTGGGCTTATATATATATGTATTTGTATCGCGTGCAAAACCGGCCGTTTGCTTGTGGGTGAAGAAGCGCATTGAATAGATCGGTGGCACTCCAGCTGCCGAGGGCTGTCGGAGGCGAGAGCGGGAGCGTGAGCGTGGGCGGGAGCGCAAGCGTGGTGAATATGCGCGCGAGAGCGCGTCGCCGGAAAAAAGCACCTAAGCGTGAGAGCGAGAGCGAGGACAACAGCTTGCGTAGCTGGATTGCTAACAGTGGTGTGGCTGGAATGCCCACAGAGCTGTTGCCCCGCCAGCGCCGTCCTCACTCTAAACAATAGGCAAAGGACGACATTTTCCCTTCAGCAACAACAGCCTGGTTCCTATTTAGCAGATAGGATGATAGCAACCGTACTGCAGAGTCAGAGAAGTTGTAGGATTCGCGAAGCTTTGCGATGAGGATGCGATGGTCAACTGAGTCAAAAGCTTTAGTGTAGTCAAGAAGAGTTAGGAACGTTACATTTCCGTCGTCTATTCTTTCACGGATATCCTCTACAATTTTTATCATTGCAGTTGTGCAACTTCTATTTGTTCTGAATCCAGATTGATTGTTGTTTAGTAATGTGTGCTCTGTAAGGAATGAATTTATTTGTTTAGCTACCAAGGTCTCGAACGCTTTTGACAGGGTCGGGAGTATGGATATTGGCCTATATTCTGCAGAGTTTGCTTTTGGGATAGGGATTATTTTAGCCTCCTTCCACTGTTCCGGGAACGTTGATGTGGTAATGGCTGTGTTGAAAATGTGAGTAACGTGCATGATGATTCTAGGGAGTATTATTCTCAAAAATTTCGGGTTCATATCGTCTAGGCCAGTAGCATTTGATTTAATCTTATGAATGGATTCTAGAACATCACAAGGACTAACACAACAGAAACTAAAGCTAGGAACAGTATAATTATAGGGCGTTGATGTCAAGTTCAGGGTTGGTGGTGGGTCCGGTACAACTAATTGCAAAAATTTGTTGTTAACTTCATTTACGTCCATGTCAACTAGTGAGTTTCTTGCTTTTTTGCCAATTCCTATACTTTTAATCACTTGCCATTTCTGCTTGCTACACAGAGCGTTGTTAAACTTTGACGAGTAGAAGGCGGTCTAAGCAGAGTATATTAGTTTAGTTACGTCTGATCTTAATGATTTGTACATATTAAAGTGGCTTTCAGTCTTATATCTTTTAAATTTTTTAAAAGCCTCATTTCGTTTGATGATACCCAGCTTTATCTCCGGGTTGAACCATGAGTTATCTGTTCGTTTGACTGTCTTTCTCTTAATAGGTACATGTTCACAGCAAAGATAGTCAATGTTTGATTGAAGTTGGGCAAGCTGAGAATTTACAGACAACATATAATGTATTGACGTCCAGTCAAGGCTGCTAATGTCAGTGTGTAGTTTTTCAAGGTCAATGTTCTTGAAGTCTCTGTAAAAGGTATCGTAGTCAGGATTAAAATCATAGGTCAAGAAAATAAGGTCATGTTTTGAATACCCTGGTGCTGTGAGTTGGTCATATAGTAGCATTTTGTCAGTACTGTCGACAAAGAATAGATCTAGTAGTGTGTTTCTTGTTTTTGTAAAGTGTGTGGGGAGCTGGTGGTTCACTATATTTAAGTCAAGGCTCAACATGCTATCTGCTAATGAGGATTCTCTAAGAATATCACAATTAAAGTCACCTGCTAGGATTACGTCTGTATAAGTCAAGGAAATGTCAGTAATAAGTGATGTCAGGTCTGAGTAGTCAATGTTTCGATTTGGTCGATATATGCAATCAAGAAGCATCTTTCTTCTATTGATGGTGATCGTTAGAAATATGTATTCTATGGCACTATCTGGTCCTTGCTTACAGAGGATTTTTGTGGATATCTTGTTATTTATGTGTATTGCAACGCCCCCGGCATGCCCTACACGATCAGAACGAAATACATTGTATCCTCTACATTCAATTAAGGAGTCACTTAAGTCGGGGACAAACCAAGTCTCGGACACACATATAACATCCACACCAGAGTCGATAAACATATGTCTGAATTCGTCAATTTTTTTTGTCAAGCTTTGTGCATTGATATGGCAGATTTGCAGACCCGATTTTTGTTTCACCAGAATTCGGAGGACCTGAGATGTATTCACATTTGTTAGTTCTAATGAACCGTCCATATCAAGTGTGTTTTAACACAACGAAAAATTTCATTACAGTAAGTACAGTTAAGGGCCCACTTAAAAATAAAATACAGGAAAGTGGTTAGATGGGTAATACTTATAGCTAACATGAAAAATTTGCCTATGGTTATATTATTGACGAAACGAGCTATTCTCGTCTCCAGCTGCAGGGCTCTCAGTAGCAGCTTGCATCTCCCTCAGATCCTCAATTTTGAGAACTTCCCAGATCTCACTTTCTTGGGTCACTTTGACGTGAACCATACCCCTGCGCGTAAACACGGATTGCAGCTTCCGATGCTTCTTCATTTTCAGAGCTTCTCTAAAAATCTGGTAGTTTTCCCTGGTAAGCTGCTCGTTGACATATACTGGGGCTGGTGAGTTTAGGCCGAGTAACTGCAGAGTTAGAGGCTGCTTGGTTTCCCGCCTGTACATACCGATGTTGCGCAGTAATGCCGCTTTGTCGCGCACCCGTTCCAGCTTGACAATGATGATGGGGTGAACGATGGAGTGGGGAAGATTTTTGTTCGGCCTCATACGATAGATATCCCTAATAGCAGGCGCAGGCGTGTGATTTAGGCTGAGGCACAAGTTGTTGAAGATATGTTTCAGCTTTTCACCTTCGACGTACGGAACTCCATGGATCCTCAGGTCGCATGCGATATTGGCCTTAGCCTGTGTTTCAACAAAAGCTGGGCTTCCAGATCCTCTACCTTTTTTGTAAGGTTTTGAGTCTCACCCAGCCTACTTTCTAGAAACTGGACTCTCTGTGTGAGATTCTGGATCCCACCAACCATACTATTAAGCTTGCCTGTTAGCAAACTTAACAGCCGCTTGTACGGTGAGGTTTGTAGCTGTTCCGCCGAAAATTAGGCACTGCCTGTCGAACGCTGCTGATAATTCTCTTTGTTAGCGGATGGAGGGTGGCAAGCAAGAGAAGAGAATGCACGGAGACTGCTTAGACAGGTCAACGGGAGCTGAGAGAATGAGAGCGGGTTCGAAGGCGAATTTCGAAGAAAGAGAAGGTAATAAATAGAGGGCATCAGGACGCCATTATGTCATTTCCCATCGAGATCTCCATAGATAGCGTATTATAAAGGGAAAAAAAAAAATTAGTCCAAGTTGAAAATCTTTCTAAAGTGCCAGTGAAATATACATATAATACCCTTATATTACTTGGATGCCATATACCGCACCATCGGACAACTGGTCAACTTTCTACGGATCAGCCGTTCGGGTAAGCAGAACGAGAGCTAGCAGCAGCTAGGCAAGTACAAAAAAATATATATATATGCATATGTATGTATGTAGGCTAGCGGTTGGAGGAGGCTCGTCAGCCACATCGACACAGCTGGAGCAGCGAATTCGCCGGAGCTTTGGCGCTCGCATAAGGCTGAATTGCGATCGACAGAAGAGGCGACAAACTAGTACCCGGCAGCAGCCTCTTCAACGCGAACCGCGGCGTCGCTTCAGAGCGGGACGGGAAGAGGGAGAACGTCAACTATAGAAAATTATAAACTAAAACGGGGATAATTGTCTGAACACTCCTAATTACAATCCGAATTTCGCCAGTCTCATTCTATTCCCCTTTCTATCCATCTATTCTTTTTTTATCTCTATCACTCTTTGTTTCTCTCTGCCTCCGCTGCTGAGGCCGAGCCCTCAAGCACCGGTAATCCAAAGTACCGGTGATCAGAAGAGAGAGGAGCAAATCATGACGGTGTAAAGAAGAGATAGAGAAGTTACTTAAACAACCCCAAACCGATAGCACCGGTAAATTTTTTTGTATGTGTCATGCGAACTGTGTGTGTTTCTTTGTTTTTTTTGTTTGTTTAGTGATTTATTTGCAGTGACTAAATCGGAAGCGCTTCATCGATGGAGGTCTATTGTAAGTAATTTTTGTAGTGTTTAATTTTATTGGCGTCCACAATTTATGCATTTGTTGGCCTAGGCTCAAAAGAGAGCCACCAAAGGGCATGACATCTCTTTCGCATGCGCACACCCGAAAATTAAAGGGTATTCAAATTTAGTATACATATGCACATAAGCATTTTTATTCTGTTTCTTTTACCTCCGCATACCGTCCCTCTCTCTTCTGATGCCAATGGCTCATGCCCATTTGGGTTTCTGTTTTATTTTCTACCTTTACGTTCTTTACCTTTAATATATTTTTCTCTAGTTATTTAAGTCTGAATATTTGTATTTATTAGTAATTAATTTATATTTAGTAACCTGGGGGAAAACATTACGGGATTATTTGAAAGGGTACAGAATGAAATGTTAGAGTTTTAGTATTAAATAAATTATTATAATGTGTGAGTAATACAAGATAGATTGATCTCCAGCGGAATGCCCCTGTAGGCCCCTCAAACATAAAGGGGTCTTGTAAAGATTCGGTGAAATGGCACATACAAGACCAAGGTAGGGTGGGGGAAGTGTTCCTCAAATACATCAGAGGAATGTTGTCCGTTTTCCCAAGTGTAGTTATTGTCTTTCGTTTTAGGTGTTGTGCTTTCCGTCCGGTTATTAATGGCTTAGTTATTGTGCACGCTTTACAATTTTAAATTAATAATAGGGTAGGCCTTAGCTTTGGACAAAAGAACACCACACTCGTAGCCGACGAGCCAGCAGCCGGAAAAAAATGAATTAGCGTGCCGTCCAATAGTTAAGAGTGTCATCTTGCCTACACAGTGGGTTAACCATTACATTTATTATTATTTTTGGCGCCCAACGTGGGGCCACACTTTTGGGTGGGAATTCAAAAAAATTTTACTTATTGGTGTGGTTCACGAACAATGGCCTAAAACAAACTATCTCTAAATGAATTTTCTTTTTTTTATTGTCTTTTCGTTTATCGGCGGGTAGGAAGTAGGAAAATTTAACAAGTCTTCCGCGGTCGTTATGGTAGATGAAAAAGAAGAAATCAATAAAACATTTCCGCTGTCATACAGTTCTCATCCAAGTCTTGGAATACCGGAAAATAACTTAACCTTAGGGTATGTTCCGGGCCAGGATTCTGTGGGTTCTGAGTGAGTTCTCTTTGTTTCGGTACAGATAGCCAAACTGTCCTGATTTTTTTTGGAATACTACAAGAATAGCTTTAAGAAGCTGTCAGTTGTCCAAGTCAGGTCAGTTTGAGATGTTGGTACTACTTAACTGAATGCAGGCTGCATGAGAATGTACATCAAGCGTTTGGGATTTACAGGTGATGCAATTTGAATAAGAGCACTCCTGGCCACGGCTGATGTCGTTCTATACTCAAGCTTGTATTTTCTCTTCTTTTTTTTCTTGGCAACTTGGAGTAATGCTTCTATTAGAAGTAAAATATTAGCCGAAATTGGATGCAGATGTGCAGAATTTTATTCTGCCTCTGCCCACGGCTTATATGTTCGTACTTGCCAAGATTAGCTTTCCTCTTTAGCCATACTTGGTGAAGTAATTCGGAAAATGATGAGAGGCTTTGAAGGGAGCTAGTCTAACAGGGAGATCAATAATCTTTTTGTTTTGAGTTATTTAAAAGAATTTCAGTATTTATTTTATTGTTTTGTTAAATTAAGCAAATTTTTTTTTGGAATAGGTTTAGAGATTGAGATCAAGTTTGAGAAAAATTAGATAATTCTATGGGTTTGGATAGATCTCCACAAAAAGAGGTTTCTCCTCGTGTCGTTAAATGCAGCTTATGTAAAGCAGAATTAAGCACTGGGGAAACTTATAAAACAAAGTGTGATCATCGCTTTCATAAGGCATGCATAAAAAAGCATTTCACAAGTAAAACGACATGTCCGATTTGTGATACCGTTTGTATATCCCAAACAATTTCAAATCCCACTAGCACATCTCTTCTAACGAGGCAGCAAGCAAGACTCGCGACAATTCCGCGATCAGAAAGCCAGCTCAGCTTGGCAGAAACAGCAAGTGAAGATCAAGGTACGAGTGGTAATCCATCCACCAGCGAGATGAGCCAAATGGCAGCAGAAATTGCTGCTGCTGTCAAAGCAATGCAGAACGAGCTGTTAACGCAATTGACAGAACAAATGGCGAATCTTATTCATACCAATGTAGAGGCACATATGAATTCGATAGAGCAGCAAAGGCAGACACCAAATCCTAATACCAGTAGGAACACTTCTTTAGAGCAGCTGCTAGGAATCAATGGGCAGCAACTAGATCCAATAGTACCGCCACAGCGTAGTCCCAGTTCCAGGTCTGTAGGTTCGGAATTGGCCCAAAGGCCAGACAAAGTAGGCCACATAATGACAAATTGGAAGCTACGATATTCTGGGTCCACCGATACTATAGGCATAGATAACTTTATTTATAGGGTTGAAGCCCTCACCCACCAAACCTTAGATGGGAATTTTTCACTTCTATGTGGAAACGCTAATACGTTATTTGAAGGCAAGGCTTCTGATTTCTTTTGGCGCTATCACAAGTCAGTAGGAGTAGTACGGTGGCAAGAGCTGTGTGCAGCGCTAAAGAAGCAATTCCGAGACTCCAGAACGGATGTGGATATTCGTCAAATGATTAGGGATAGGAAGCAGAAGGAAAAGGAAACTTTTGAAAGTTTCTACGATGCCATTCTAAAACTAACGGATAGACTCGACCAACCGCTGAGTGAAAAAACCCTGATAGAGATCGTAAGGCGTAACTTGCGGGCGGAAATTCAACACGAAATACTGAATATTCGAGTAGATTCTATGGAAACCTTGAGGGACATTTGTAGGAATAGAGAATGCTTTATGGAAGAGGTGCGTCGGACTCAAGGCTACCAAAAACCTGCTCCATTTCGGAAGCAAATCTCCGAGCTAGTGGACGACATCTCAGGAGATGAGGCCGAAGAATTCTTGGAATCGGAGTTTGGGGAAGAAATGGCAGCGATATCGTTGGTTTGTTGGAACTGCCGAAAGGAGGGACACCGGTACCACGACTGCGTATCCAAACGGAAAATATTCTGCTTCGGGTGTGGAGCGCCAAACACTTATAAGCCCTCTTGCAAAAAGTGTTCAAAAAACAGCAAGGAGAACACGTCAGACTCTCGTCGGCTGACCAGTGTTCCGCAGAGGGGGGCGACGAAACAAGACTAGAACTGGAAAATTGTGAAATACAAGAAGAGTCACCTAGGGATATTAGGGAGGCAGACACACCGATGGTAGGATGGCATAGAATACTAGCAGAGGCTAAGAAGAGCGCACCACCACATGAGATCGTGAAGTCAAGGAGATTTACAAGAAATGCACGGCGCATAAAGACCCATTTTAAATCCATAAAATACATAAACGAATTAAGGAAAAAGAAAGGAGATAAGAGGCCTTATGCCGACGTTAAGTTACTAGATAAAACTGTATTAGGATTGCTAGACACTGGCGCTGGAATGAGTTGCGTGGGTGGTCAGTTAGCAAAAGAAATAATTTGTAGTAAAATACCATTTAAATTGCTGTCGTCAAATGCTTTCACGGCAGACGGGAAAAGGCAAGAAATATTAGGAAAATTAACAACTAAAATAGAGTATCGAGGGGAGGCTAAGATAATAGAGTTATTTATAATTCCTAATTTAAGTCAAGATTTATATTTAGGCATTGACTTTTGGTCACTTTTTAATTTATTACCTTCCGAATTTAAGATTTCAGAAATAAGCGAGGGCTTTGATATTCACATTCTTACTTCTGCTCAGG